TGATATTAACCCAGCATTCCCCCTCAGGGAACTCTCTCTCTCTAGAATCTCTTGAACAAAGGTAATGGTGGCGTACTATCCTGTACCGTTGAAAAGACACAAGTGCTCAAATATCTGCCGCCGGCAATTTCCGCATCACCTCACTCAGTGTTATACCAACATCCGTTTCTTCTTAATCTGCAGGTGGCCTTTATGATGCCACAAAGTCACGGTAAGTTCACCAGTACGTCAAGAGCACTCACTATACAACACTCAAAAAAATTAAAGTTAATTAAGTAGGCTATCAAGCAAGCATTTTGGTTCTTTACTATCGAAACCAGATACATTTTCGTGCCCCCCACTTACAACTGGTGGACCCCCATATTTTATTCACGCCAACGTAGACCCCATTTGAGTCTCCCGTGGAGCAGTTTGGGAATCACTGCTTTAAAGAATAACCTCTGCCGTCGACTTTAAATACAATTTTAGTAAAGAATCATACTTTTTTTTTTTATTAATCATAGAAACACATAAATAGAGTAAATACTTTACTCACATTTTTTAGACTGACAGCCGCACTCAGAAACGTTCCTTAGATTAGCTCTAACGGGCACTTAACTAATGATCGTTAAATCTGTTAATTAATGTTTCCTCTCAGAGTTAAAAATTATGAAATAAAAAATTTAAGTATGGCCCCAGTTGCGGGCCTTCATTTTTGTGGCATCACTCACTTTTTTCGTTCAGTTTAAAATAAAATTTAATAAAAATTATAGTTTAAAAAACTAAAACCTCGCCATTATAATTTCCATTCGTACTGTCATCAGCAGGGAACGGATTTTATGGAAGTTGCCTTTTTTTCTGCTTAAGAGATAGAGTATATTCGATTAAGAATGTCCACGATTTAGCTTTCCCTGATTCCATATATACACATTTGATGTTGCCCATTTTTGCCTTTTTTAAGATATTTGCTTTTTTTGCCTTTTTTAAGATATTTGCCTTTTTTGTCTTTTCTACCTTTAAAAAAGTGATTATAGCATTTACAATTTTTTTTTTAGATTAAAAAATATACACATGCCCATGCGGTTTATAGAAGCGCTGGGATCTTTTGCCAAAATCGAATGAAAATGCTGCCAGAAAACTACAAAATGCATATTGTGGTTCAATGTTACTACAACTATACAGATTAAAGAAACTCGAAAGGATAAAATAGTCAAAGAATCAAAGTACAAATTTTTCATATATGAAACTAGTTCATAGTTTTTCTCTTTTTACTTGTAATATAAACATTTCTAAAATAAATTTATTTTTTGATTGTTCTTCGTATTTTCTGTCTTTTTTTAGTGCCTTATTTTGCTTTTTTTTTGCAATACCTAGTGCCTTTTCTTGCCTTTTTCGCTATTTTGTTTTGCCTTTTTTGCAATACCTAGTGCCTTTTCCTGACTTTTTCGCTATCTTATTTTGCCTTTTTCAGCCTATTTCGTTATTTTATTTTGACTTTTTTATAGGTTTTTAGGTCCTAAAAATCCGTTCCCTGGTCATAAGGTATGTAACTTGAGAATAGAAATCGCTGCATCTTTTAGGCGCATCAATATTACATAGTTACATCCCGAGCTAATAAAAGGGAGGTAATAAAAATAAGTATTTATATCATTTTGCGCGCACCGGCTCAACAGACGCAATGGCTGAGTGAGCAGAGAAGTGGCGTGCCATTCGAGAGATCCGAGTTCGAGTCCTAGGGCAGGAAAATTTTCGTTTTCCTTTTTTTATTTATTTATTTTTCTTGTTTAATTTTATAAACTATCTGTGTTGAATTTTTAGCTTTTTTGATTTAATTTTCTTTTGGTGAATAGATTTTATTGCTATAAAAAGAATTTTTTTTTTAAATTTAATTAAATTATTTGCTAAAAGACAAACAAGGCCAATAACAGGCCAATTCTGTCATCTGTCTTTCAACTCACCTCAGTCTTTCGAGAGACAAAAGTCTTTATATTTCGGAAATTATCGTGAAAGCCCTNGCCACTGTTGCAGCAACGTTATCGAAATGGAAATTTATTGAAAACAAAGAAAAAATTTCAAAATCATTCGTTAAAAAGTTAAGTAAAGGTTTTTGTTTACTTAATTTAATGTTCATTAAATGCCGTTAACGAATCATTAACTGACTCTGAGAGGGAATTTTTTCAAATCGTTACTGAGGGACACCTTAAGTAATCATTAAACGACTCTGAGTGCGGCGGTAAGACTTAAACCTCAGTTATGCATACTTTGCATTGCGTGAGAGTTGTCACATAAGAAATCTGTTAAATGAGCTTTGCGAGTAAGCGGTTACCTAAAGCACAGCATTTTTTAATCTTTTATAGTCTACTTTTTAATCAGTCAATAGTTTTAAGCAATGTTTAATATATTCTTGTTTAAATTTTAGTCCAGGCTGCCGAGAAAATGATGTTTTGCTATGAGCGTTTTAAAATTAAAACCAAAAAGTTCAGGGTTTAAAAATCAAACCAAAATATTTTAATTATTTTTTTTTTTAATATTTTGATTGAGCTTTGTACCACGATTGTTTATTAGGAAAAATTGAAAAAGCAACAAAGTCTAAGCGGTAGAAGTTATAGCAGCTATTTCGGAGATCACCACATCTCCTCATCAAACTTCTTTTTTCTAGACTTCAGCAGGAATCGGACCTGCGTAATCGATGTTCAAAGTCAGAAGCGTTAACCACTGAGCTATGTACATTCCGTAAACTCTTGCTGCTAATTCATTTTCCTGCCTGAAACTATGTATACAATAAAGCAAATAAGCAAATGGATGTATAGAATTGAAAACAACAAATCCGCTGTCGAGTTTAAATAGCGGCAAATCAGCTGCACTTGATAGTAGTTGGTTGAATAAGGAAAATGAATTAGCAACAAGAGTTTACGGGATGTACATAGCTCAGTGGTTAACGCTTCTGACTTTGAACATCGAATTCGCAGGTTCGAT